TAAAATATAACTTATTACTATAAGTAATGTTAAAAACGTGTAATATTGTAATTTTAGTTAGCAATTCGACATCCTTGGAACACGTCATATCTTTAATTTCAAAAATTCAAAGTTATCTCAAGTTAGTTTTAAACCACCCTGTATAATTATTTCTGCTATAGACATTGCTTGATGTGAATTTTACCTTAGCTAAATAATTTACATCGGCTCCTCGTTTAATTAATAACCGTGCTATCTCCTCGTTTCCATAATGAGCGGCGATGTGAAGAGGGGTGAAGCCACTCTTCGATGTCACATCGGGCTTATGGTCGTTCTACAACATTCAATCGTCGCACATCGGCGTAGTATTTTATTTGCTCAATGGTTTCATATTTTTAATTCAATTAATTTTTGTTCGATGTATACTGCTTTAAGCTTACTTGTAAGAGCAAGTCGGCGGCTTTGCAATCGTCCTTTTTCGCGGCGATGTGGAGTGCCGGCAATCTGACCTTGCCCTTTGAATCGTTTTCTAAGAGCACGCTGACCACTTTATCGTGGCCTTGCTGCATCGCCACAGCGAGCGGTGTAAATCCATCCTAAAAAATATCAAAATAAATTTAAGTTTCACCAATAAGATGAGTCTGAAAGTCTGACACAAAAGATTATTGAATTGTTTTATCAAAGATATAAAAAATTTTCAAACTGTTTATAAGTTTTTTGTAATTTCTTTATACATAATTACATATAAATCCCAGTGTCTATTAAAAATCTAAAACAGCCCAGATTCTCCTCGCAACTATTAGACAAAGAAAATTATTTCTATTGGGATAAAAATGGAGCTTATTGGAGTTACAGTGGCATACATTTGTAATAAAGTGAGATCTATTTCGAGAAAAGATATAGATCAAGCTTACCTCAGTCGCGAGACTTTGATTCGCTCCATTGCCGAGCAAGAGTTTGACGACCTGGTCGTGATTCTCCTGCGCTGCCATGTATAAAGGAGTGAATCCGTTTTGCGACTGAATATTAACCGCGGCACCATATTGAATAAGTATATTGACTATTTCGCACTGGCCAGCTGGAAGTAAAGTACGCAAAATCATATACAACTACAATTATAATAGCGAATTCTGGTGCAATGAAAAATATCGATTTTTTTTCACCTAACGAAGCTATGTGTAATGCTGTATTTCCTTTTCTCGTCGCCGCATCGACCTTTGCGCCCCTTTTTAATAACTCGGTTACTATCTCAACGTGGCCATCCTTCGAAGCTAAATGCAAGGCATTTAAACCGTTCTGCAATGAGACACAAATTAAATCTTACTTAATTTGTTGTAATTAAAAATATTTCAATTAAATTAACTTATTTAGTTTAATTAAAAGCTAAATGTGACGAAAAATTAAAATAAAATAATTAATTTAATTCAAATTAAATAAACTTTTATGTTATTCACTTATATGAAAACTATCAGTTGTTATGAAATGTAATTGTTTGAAATAATGCGACGATTTGATTACGTAAAAATTGACGATAAAGATACTTTAATACATAATTTGACATTTCACGTTTAATTCTTACCGAGTTGGCTGTATTAATGTCTAAGTCAGTATCGAGAAATTCGACGACTCTCTCGAGGTTGCCGGACCGAGCAGCGCGAAGAAATGCTGTCGTGTCATCAGCCTAAATGCAAATAGTTTAGTCTGTAATAAACGACTGTAGAGGGGAAACATTTAGAGGTAGAAAAGACAACGGGGAAAATAGAGGGGCGGCGATAAGGTTTAATAAAAAATGACGAAGATGCATAATATGGTTATTTATATACAATAGATATGATGCTCAAGTAACCCAGTTTGCGACACGGTGATGCCGACCCTGTCCTTTTTTTCTTTTACCCTCATTTAACACTTTGTGCTCACCGTCATTATCCTTTTCAGTAATCAACGTTATAGTATACGTTATTTGCACTTTCCAAAACAGCGCAGGAACAAGCGTACCAGATATTTACGAAAACTCATTCCTTTTCCGTAGACAGCACTGAAGAGAGCTACATAGAGAGTTGACGAATGCGTACTAATTAAGGTATTATTTATTATACATATGTATATCCCATTTAGTGCCGTTGGAAATTGTAGTTTAATATTTCAGGCATCTATCATTACATGCTTATCGTTTCTCTAATAACAAATTAATTTGTTATAAGTCTTTTTGTAACATGTTGCCAAAGATACGATTTAGGAAACCGGTTGCCTAAATCGTACCTTCTTGAAATAGTCGAATTTATGAGTGAAAATGATATAAGTCGAGTAAATAGTATAATATAAGATCGATATAAGAAAGTATTAACTAATACTTGTTTTATTACTAATTTATCTAAACAAAATCAAATATTTAATAATTAAAAAATAATAATTAACGATAACGGAATGGGCGTTAAAATACAATTAGCTTAAAGTAATTTTTGTAATTTATATCTATATTAATTGTATCACTCGTATATACAATATCGTTTATTGTTTATAAAATCGTACCGGTACGAGATAGGAAACTGATAGATTTTATACAAATATTTATTTAATCCTCATGATAATTGTAAATATGCATATGCAATAAATGTAAAATGTTCTACAATAAACCTTCTTTAATGAAAAAATAAAAGTTTATAATAAAATAGCTTAGTTACGTTATAGTCAGCTATACAAATGGATAAAAAATTAACATCAGTTAAACCTGAATTTTTTAAATGTTGTTAACATTCACAGAATAAGATGTATCGTGTTAATTTTGTTTCGTCTATATTACTTATTTCTCAATGATTTCATATTGCCATTAGGTACTAAATGTTGCTTATATTAAATAATCTAAAATATTGATGAAATACGCATTAGGTGACTAGTAACGCATTCGGCAACTCTCCCCTAAATCTAGAGAATTATACAAAAGCTAATTGTCAGAGAAACCTAAAGAACGTCTGTAAAATTAATCGATCTTGGATCAACAATCTATAATATCGTTATACACGGAGTATAGAAAATACAAGAGAAAAAAACTCAGTCGAAGACAGTCGGCTCTGAGAAAATTCAAAGACCAATGCAGCGACCATTAGTCCACGATTGGGCGTTAATTAGCTCGTGATTTTCTGGCTGGTTTCCTCGAGGAGCCACAGTCCCGCGTATCTCGCCCCTCCGTCTACATCCGCTGTGAATCATCGCGATAAGGAACCATGTCGGGCCAGGTGGTCCGCTCCGTGTCGACGCCGTTTGCGCGCGCGCGTGCTATACCCCCGTCACCCTGACCTTTGACCGGTAGCTCCTGCCGGCTCATACGCCGCGGTCTCGTTACAACGCTCGACGGATCGCGTCTTCACAGCTTTTCGGTCGCCACCGCCGCCGCGTTCCTCTTTGACACCGACGCGTATTCGCCGGCTGTCGCGCCTGAACGCCCCGTCCGGTCTATTTCGCGCATCGCCCTGACAGCCCACCCTCCTTCCACGTTCTCTCCGTTACCTCGGGGCAAGTTCTCTCGTCCTCTGCGCAATGCCCCGTATACTGATAATCGGAAGTTGGAATCGTTTTTGGGTGCAATTCAACGAGCGCGGATGCTCACGCAACCCCCTTGCGTGTGAGAACAATTTTTGTAATCACGAAGACGTAGGCTGCATAAGACACGTCTCTCCCCTCTTGAACGCGGCATTGGAATTTGCGCTTCGCGAAAATAGCAATTTTCGGTCCCCATCCAGAATTTCCGAAACATTAACAATCTTCGGCCGGCTATTGCAAACTCCGGTGTAGCTATATATTTAGATATAATTTCTTGACTCTCGTGAATCATGGGGTAGCGCGGAGGATCTTCCGACGAACGATGAGCCTCGCGATTGATTCTAGAGCTAAGAGTTAGAGGCGCTCGAAAATTCCACCACTCGTCGTCTCCTTCGATCGGTCAACTCGGAGTGGACGAGAAAGAGGGTGCATGCACGAGAGCGAAAGAGAGAGAAAGAGGGAGAGAGACAGACAGGCAGGGAGAGAGTGAGAGAGAGAGAGAGAGAGGGAGAATGCGAGTGCCGGCTCCGAACCGCTATACCGCTTCCGTCGAAGACCATACCTGACTGTCGGTGACCATCGCGACTGAGGGCTGGGCCGGGAGAAGCGCCTTCCGACTGCTCGGGGCCCGACGTCGACCGTACGCACGCACGAGACGCTCGTCTTTTTCCTTTACCACCGACTTACGCGCACGTTACACCACCATTTGTGCCCACCGTCCCTCGGGGGTGCGCACGGTGGAACGCCAGGAAGAGAGCGTCAGGCGGGTAGGAGCCGCCCTGCGGAAAGCGGCGCAACGGCGCAGAATCGAACGACAACGATCTCGCATATAGAGGGAACACCGCACGGGGGTGGCTTGCACCGAGGGGGTGGCTGCCGGCTCGCTCGCACCCTCCCCGAGCGGGGGACATGCGTTGTCCGTCTTGCCGTCGCGTCGCCGCGCCGCACCGGTCCCTCTCGCGCCCTTCTACGACTCTCGCATTGTTCCCGTCCTTACTCCCTTACTTCCTCACTCCGTCATACTGGCGCTCTGCCGCTGTTTTAGCAGTAAAAATTCTCTTTTTGTTCCTTGCACTCTCCCCCCCCTCTCCCCGCCCTTCCTTTTGTCCGCTACTTTTGGAACCTTGACAGATCGCCAAATCGCTGTAAATTGCTACAGATTGCATATAGCGTTCTATATGAGATTCTATACGCGTTCTGTTTGCATATTCTATATAAATTAAAAATTTGTATCTTTCAATGCCTACGTTTGTATTGAAATCTGTATGCATATTTTTTTAATTGGGTATACCCTAGTAACATAATATATTGGCGCCACATTGGGAAATAATGTAAATGG